GTGGTTAGAATTGGGAATTTGTTTATAAGTATAGATGCAAAATCATCCAGCAGTATAAAGTATATGTATGTAGGATACTATAATTCATTATTGACTTTACTTCTTTTTACATTGACTTTTTAGTGACTATGAATTGATAACAACATTTATGTATTGGTGAAGGAAGTTTGAACATGGTCTAAAAGATACTTAACAAGAATAGCACTTTGCATAGAAAGATAGATTGGATAATGACAAGAAATGCTTCTTTAATTTTTGAATTAGTATAAAGAGATCTCTTAAAGAAAGTTTACTTGCTATTAATTCTATTCTACCAATTTAATTGTACTTTTATTTGAGCTTTGCTACAGGCTTCACAACTTTTGCTGTCAGTTTAATTGCTAGGCTTCACTGGCCTCATTGTGGGTGAATTTCATTACAATATAATTTTGAGGTATTAATTTAGTTTCCATTGTTTTTTTGTAAATGTATTCTTGCAAAACACATTTGATAATGTGTTATGTAACATGAGACAATTCTCACTTCTTCAAATTGAAATTTGATTGCAAAAACCTCCTATGGCAAATTCCTTACAGTGAGGTTGCGTCATCCATGTTATTCGTGAATCATATATGGCAGCGGATACTATGGCTATAATAAGACACAACATCGCAAGTATTTTGTTGTTTTTTATTGTATCCCCAAGCAGTTAAATATGCATATATTGTGGAATTGACATAATTGAAATTAAATTCCCTAAAACTCACTGTTATATATTTTTTTTAAAATAATGATGTATCATTTCACTACTAATTTCCTTTTAATATTAAATTTTTATTTTATTTTTTTAATTTCAAGGGCCCGGGCATTGCCCGGGGTATTAACTAGTAAACTTTATTTTAATTTCAATTCCATCTATATAAGTGAGATAAGATGTGACAAAAATAAACAAATATATATGAAAGTTCTTAAACTTGATATGCTCGTTGGCAAGGACTCTCTCTTACCCTTTGTAAGTTAATCCCCCTATCCTCCCTCCTATTCTTTCATTTTTCCGAACATAAATTAAATAAATAAAATCTCCCCACACTCTTCACTAAGTGCACCTTCTCATTTCTTGATGGCTCATATGTCCTACTTGCGGTGGCTGCAGAAGATTCAAAGATAAGGACTTATTCATCTTTTTATTGGACAAAGAGAGGTGCTTTAAGCCTTTAGCCCGTGGAAAAAGGGTATAAACCTACAAAACTTTACTAATGAATCAAGAAATTTTTTATGTTAAGAGTGTCGACCAATTAGGCTGAAAGCCTTCCACCAAAACAAACAAGGACACATCATTCATAAGACTTGGTGCTTCCATTCCTTTAATTCCAAAGTTGATTGTCTTTTAAGGAAAATATGTTTCGGACTAAAAATGATTTGCTATGAAAAGGATTTTTTTTAGTGAACGTGCTGCAACTAATTAACTCATATTTTTCTTTTGCAAATTGTAAATATAAAAAAGGAAAATTTCTATCCTATTTACTACTGTAACAAAAAAATCAAATTATCATTATTTTTATTCTATTTTCTACTTCTTCTTC